ATGTCACTGAACTGTACATGTAGAAATTTTTGAAATGGTGTATCTTTGGCTATGTATATTTTCACCAAAAAAAAGGTCCTCCAAGGTTGAGAAGGGAGAGTGTTGACATGTCATGGAGTTATTAACCAATGTCATAAAACAATATGTGTACTGACTGTTTAATGAGAAACTATTTGTTCTGTAAACCTTCATCTAAAGCACAATAAAAAAATTTTTTTTTAGATTGTAAAAACATTTTTAAAGACAAACTACAATCAAGTGACTTTCAGATATGCAAGGTTCTCAAATTTTACTGCCTATAAAACCTTTCTCAGGAAGCTACCGGAGAGCATTTTCTAGCAAATCAAGGAAGGAAACCAAGAAAGGAGATCCATCAGAGGAAAGAACTAGGACAAGACAATATCATTCACATTAAGACATTCAAGAAATCATTACCGAATACCTACTATGTGCCAGGTTCTGTTCTTGGACAGCGATTGTCCCCAGGCATAGAGGACAACTAGTTCAGATTGTAGACTATGACTCAAGAGACAAGCATGTTGAGAGCAGCTGTCAGCATACCTTCTACCATTGCATCATCTTTTTAACCTGAGGAAACTACCGAAGGATGTGCTCCACCAAAACCCAAGAAAGAGGAAGACACGTGGTCCAGGACACAAGGCACTTAACAAAGAAAAAGATAAAGGAATGCCAAGGATGACGGTAAGCTGAAGTCTCTGGCTGACAGCTGTGCAGGCCCGGAAAGCAACTGACCAAGCAAGAGGGATATCTCCAAGGAAAGATTTGGAACTGAAAGAACAGCCTGAACAGAAGGATTGGTTGGCCTTGTAGAAAATTGTGTGTAAGAATTAACAAAAGGTACAAAGAAAAACAAGCAAATTGAAAAACAAGGAGTTTTTAACAAACCTCAAGGAAACCAAAAAGTGAGAAAACATAATCATAGTATAAATCAATGCTTAGATGTGAATGACATTTTCACAAGCATAATGATGCAAATACTATAATACAGATTTAACAGAAAAGTGAAATATAGTTATAATGGGAAGAGAGAGGGGACAGCAGTGTAAGGGAGCTAAATCCTCACCTATGATGACAGGAAGTACAAAGATGATATCTAAAATAGATTCATCAAAAGATAATAGTACATACATATTTTTCAAAACTACAGAGAGGTGTAGGAGCCCTGGCGGCGCAGCAGTTAAAGTGCTGGGCTGCTAACCGAAAGGCTGGCGGTTCAAACCCACCAGCCATTCCACAGGAAAAAGATGTGGCAGTCTGCTTCCATAAAGATTTACAGCCTTGGAAACTTATGGGGCAGTTCCACCCCATCCTATAGGGTCGCTATGGGTCGGAATCAACTTGATGGCAACGGGTTTGGTTTTGGTTTGGATGGAGATTTGTAAATGCCAGAGTAAATACTATTTATGGGGAGGCGCAGTGAAGGGGAGTTGGCAGGGACAGGGCAGGGAACCACTGTGTTCTGTTATTGTCATTAGTTCCCATCGAATCGATTCCAACTCATGGTGACCCCATGTGTGCAGAGTAGAACTGAACCACAGGATTGTCAAGGCTGTGACCTTTTCGGAAGCTCATCGCCAGGACTGTTTTCCAAGGCACCTCTGGGTAAATTCAAACCATCAACCTTTCAGCTAGTAGTGGAGCGTTTAACTGTTTGCGTCACCCAGGGATTCATGTTATAAGCTTTCTTAAAAATAATGAATTTTTTAAAAGTGTATTACTTTGATAAAATTAAATTTAAGTTTAAGGAGAAAAGAAGGATTAGGTGCCCCCACCAGCAGTGTGCTGGTCAATGTTTAATAATCAGCTGAGGATGGCGGCCTGATTTTTACTATTTGCCAAATACTATGATGTAAATACTACCACTGTGTCCAATTTCAAGGTACCAATGGGACTCCACTGGATTCCAAAATTCCTAAAATTTTAACAATGGACCGGTAGGAGCCATCTCCGGCACAGCCAACTTCCACTGCACTGCTTACAGTTAGTGTGGAGCAAGACAGACTGACTTCCAGGGACAGATCAACTTCCATTTGGCAGCCAAGCCAAAAAGCAGTAAGTCACACCCTGTCCCAGGGCTCCAGAAGTCTCTCTTTCCCATTGCCACTGCCCCTGAGCTCCTGATTACCTCCCTCCATTGGCCCCCAAAAAGCAGAGACATCAACATGTCACCTCTCCTCTCTGCTGCTCAACTCACCCCCCACCCCATCATAGCCAACGAGGGCAGAAGAGCTGATCAGGGCTTGTCCCTGGGTTGTTAGGATCATTAGTAAAACCCTTCTTTCCACTTGGAGTCCTGGTGGCACAGTAGTTAAGTGCTATGGCTGCTAACCAAAAGGTTGACAGTTCAAATCCACCAGCTGCTCCTTGGAAACCTACGGGGCAGTTCTACTCTGTCCTATAGGGTTGCTATGAGTCAGAATTGACACAATGGCAACTGGTTTTCCACTTGCTGATTTCACCTCTGAGGCCAGGCCTCCCCAGTGTTGGTTTTTGCTGCCTGGGAATGTGATTTCCAGCAATGTCTTCATTGTTTTTTAAACCCCACCACAACAAAACAATTCAGAAACACTCGAGTTCTACAGAGCTTTTCCTGGAAAACCAGCATCATATAATGCAGAAATACTCCCAGACCCTTCTATACAGATGAGCTTGTATGCTTCTTGACCCCTCCTCCTTTCAGGCCCAGACTAGCCCCACTACACCCCAGTGTTCCTAGCTTCCCTCCCCTCCCCACAACCCCATTCCTACAATCTCTACTCTCACTGAGTCCTCTCTGCCAGCCTAGTGTACACAGGCCGTTATGAGAGTGCAAGATTCTGTGTCCCTACAGCTGGGATTGAGGTCAGGCACGCCACCTCCACATGGAAAACACAAGACATTATACTTGAGAAATTTAAGGGTATCAGATCACTGGCCCTTAGAGAGTTTCATTCAAGTCCCTCCCTTTACAAACAAGGACATTCAGAGAAGGACAAAGACTTACTCAAAGTAATACAGCTGGTTAACAACAATAGTAACTGACATTTATACACTATAGCTCTCCACCTTTTGCAAAAATATTTACACATGCATTATTTCAGCTGACTCTCACAAACTCTTCATGCAGTGGGTATTATTATTTTCTATTTTATAGCTGAAGAAAGAGTTTTGAGAGAGAGTAAATGAAAGTAGCAAGCCCAGTCCTGAACCCTAATCCCAAACTCTCTCTACCACACCCTTCTGTCCTGGCTGTAACTTGTTGACAGCAAATCAAACCAAATCTCCTAAGCCCTGAAACAAAGCCTTAGCCTACCTACCATCCCTGCCCTCCTGCTCTGATGTGAGTATTTTCTTTCCATTCATTCTGTGCAATAGGGAAGGAGTTACCTGGTACATTCTCCGTTATATTTCCATCTTGAACAGTGCCTTTTCCAAGGGGAAGAGAAAGGGGAATAGGGAGGAAGTGGGGGAAACTGAGGGAGCTACCGGGCACACTAACAAAGGCCTGGAATGAGAGCCTGAGGTGATGTGAAGGAGGGCAACAGTGGCCCAAAGAACCCTGAGGCAGCAATGAGCGCTGGAACAGACAGGCCTGAAGAAACTGACAGGATTTAAGCAGGGAGCAGGGGTACAGGGCACCTCAGAAAGTGCAGCCCCATAAAAGGGTGAGCTGTTGAATTTATATTAACAAAAAGATTAAGAACCCAAAAGGCTCCTCTTGTTAACTTACCCCATCCCAGCTACTGATAACTCTTACCCTGAGGGGCCCCTGCACATCTGTTCTCAGGGCAAGCACCCCTCCCCTCCCCCAGCACCTCTGTCAGACTTAGTAAAGCTGCTGACGCAGCAACTCAACAGAGGGGCTGAGGGAGGAACTTCCTGGCCTGCAGGCCTGCCTGCCTGCCTGCCAGCATTCAGGGCTTCCCCTCCCATGGCCTTGACCAATTGGGATATTCGGTATAGATCCAACCAGGGAAAGTGTGTGTGCTGGAAAGCCGGGCGGGCGGGGGCTGTCAGTCTAGAGCAGAGGGAGGCTGCAGCATTCCTACCAGGAAGAGATAAGAGAATCAGGGGGAAGAGGGAGACCTTGGCCACGATTAGGGGACAGGGAGAACCTCAGAGGCCAACTGGGAGGGGAAGCTGTGAGAGAAGCCAGGGAGAATGCAAGAGAGGCCCACTGTGACCTGGCCTGTCCAACGTCCAGCCCCACACAGCAGACCTTTAATCTGAAAGCTCACGGCCCTCCTCTCAGATTGATAACCCCCACCCACCCAGGACTAGTGCCTTCCAGAGCAGCCGAACCCTCAACCCTGGACCCCTTCAGAAATCTGTCAAGGATGTCAAAGAGTATAGGCAGGAAGCCCAGAGCCCTAGGTTTTGGTCTCAGCCCTCAGCACTCCTCACCAACCAAACCCTGAGCACTCAGGCAAGCCCCTTTCTCTCTTTGGTCCCAGTGCCTCATCTGTGAAAGGCCAGGGCTGCTCTAGAAGAGTCTCTAAGGTCCCCTCCAGTCCTAACACTCTGAGAGCCTCCAAGGGGCAATCCAGGATTTAAAGAGACTTAAAAAAGGACAGAAGGAACTAGGCCTTCCAGAGTCTTGGTGGAGAACAAAGGGGGCGTGTTCTAGAAACCACGGAAATGCAGGACCTTAAGTTGCTCCCCCAGTGGACGAATGGGCTATAGGTGCTGGGACCCCAAGGGGCTCATGAGGGAGGGGGAAGGGGACACACACCGTGGAGACTCTTTCAGCGCAACTTGAAGGATAGAGCGACATGCAAGAAAGGGGCGGGACAGAAAAGAAAGAAGGAACCAGAGGGAAGGAAGGGTAGAGAAGCAGAGAAGGCTGCAGATCTGGAAAGGCCGGAGGATGGCCCAGTACCTGCCCGCCATACTGTCGAATCCAGGTCGGGGTACTTCTGGGGACCACCATCTCCCAAGAGGCAGGGGAGAGGAAGGAGCCCGGCTGGCAGGGATGGTGGGGGTGGAGAGAAGCTAGTTACCTTGGCTTTGCTCATATTCTCCCGGGGCCCCTCGAGCTGCAGCCAGAAGTAGGGGGTGTCCGGGCGGCTCTGAAAGGCGTTCAGCTTGACTCTGAAGATGCGCTGCACTTGCAGCCGCTGTCGCTGCACCCGTGCCTTCGATTTGGTCTGCACCATGAACCATTCCTGCGCCGGAGGGTCGCCCCCGGACAGGAGCATGGCTGCCCCGCCCGCCCCTGGAGAGAGGGAGACGGCAGTGTCAGCGAAGTCCCAGCGCTGGAGGCGCCTCGTGCCCCCGTCGGGGGAGCCTACGCCACGCCCCCTCCCTCCGGAGTACCCTCGCTAAGGCCTCCTTCCCCCAGGCTCCCGGACCCACCGGCCACGGCTCTAGCGTCCGCCCTCCCGGGCTCTGATCGTTTCGGCGGCGGCTCCCGCGACAGTCTCTTTCTGCCAGGGGTTTCAGCTGGGGGTGGGACTGGTCCGGCTCCCGCCGCCCTTCCCTCCGCCCTAAACCTGTCCCCGCCGCCACTCTGCCAGCCCCTACTGGATAAACTCCTTTCTCTGTCTGCTGGGTAGCTTAAAAGGGGCACGGGAAGCGGAGGGAGGGGAAGACGAGGCGGGGCGGAGGGGGCACAGGAGGATTCTGGAAACCTCTGCCTTCCACCCAAGTTTGGGGCCCAGAGCCAGAATCCAGGGGTCAAAGTTAATTTCTTTCCACATTTCCCTTTCCCTTTGGAAGGAAGGGGAAGGAGGAGTATTAGGGTTGGGGGTGGGGGGAGATTGCTTCCAGGGACCTTTTTCTGAGATTTGGGACAGGGCTTTCTCCCTGCCTCCCAGGCTTCCTTTGAGAACCAGGACGTCAGCCACTCCTTCCCTCTCGTTGTGCGCTAGTCCTTGGAGGAAAGGGTTAAGGTGGAGCAGGGTGGGGAGCTCAGGGAGGCTGAGGCCTGAGGAAACTGCAGGCTGGAGACAAAACAGGAAGGAGAGGGTGGCAGGACCGACTCCCCACCCCCCACTGAAGTGTGGGGACGGCCTGGAGCTGGCAGGCAGCCCAGAGCCTCCCGAAGCCCCCCAGGGCTGGAGGGGTGGGAGGGTGTCGGAGTTCTAAGAGTGGAGTTGTTTATGAAAGCCCTTTCTAGCAAGCTGAGTTATGCTGTGAGGGGAGGCTTTAGGATGGGAGTGAGTCTTGTCGGTAATATAACCTATGAGGTCTCCCTCAACCCTTGACCCACAGCAGGCTGATTGGCATCAGTGGTCTGGGATGAGCCCTGAGCTGGGAGGCCACCTCTAACACCCAGGCCCTAAGGCTTCCTCAGCACAAAGAACACCTTTTACAGCCCTGTGGCCTGTACAGAACCTGGCCTTGTGGAGAGCAGGGTCTGAGTCCTGGGCCCCAGTAACCTTATTTTCCGAACAAAAATCAAGAGCCACAGTCTGACAGGCACAAGTGTACTTATGGGGACAAAGGGCAGTGAATTTTAAATTAGGCCTGCCCGGGAACATCGGGGTTGCAGGGCCATTGTATGTTTGTGTGCAGGCAAGGGACCAGGAGTGCCTCACTACAAGGAAGGAATTCAGTTGAAGGGAGAAGGGGAAGGGCTCACGCTACCCCTAGTCTAGACTGGACTCTGACCCACCCACCCCACATCCACCCCCACTTCTTCTCCCTAGATTAGAATCCAGAAAAGGAAAAAATGATCTACGTCACTTCTGGCTCAAAAGCCTTCTGCTCTGCCCCATCTGACTTCTTTATCCTGCCATCTACAGAGCTTTGAACCAAAGACCCTCAAGGTGAACTTCAGGTATCTAGCTAAGGTGATTGTCTCTCCCACTCTGCCCACCTCTAACTGCTCTCCTTTTATCAAAAGAGTCTCATGCCTGATTATGCTTCAACTTCTCCTCTGAAGCAAGGTAAGACCCACATATCTGTGCTCCCCACCCCTCCCCTGAATAAATGCTTAGTTCTAGTTGCCCTCTTCCAACTTACTGGACTACAAACACAGTGACCATCTGGAAGGAAGACTCAGGTTTGATCTTATGTTCAAAGAGGCTGTGTGGAGGGTGGGAAGAGGTTGAGCTTTGGTCTCACGAACCTCATAAGTAGGTAAAGGGTAATTTTTTAAGATTCTTTTACCACCATTTCTTTGGCTTATAAAAATGGGGTTAATAATGCCTTTAGTAATCAGTTGTGGACAAGTCAGTTCTGACTCATGGCAACCCTGTGTGTGTCAGAGTAGAACAGTGCTCCATAGGGTTTTCAATGGCTGATTTTTTTTAAAGTAGATCACCAGGCCTTTCTTCCAAGGTGACCCCGGGTGGACTTGAACCCCCGACTTTTTGGTTAGCGGCTGAGCACATTAACTGTTGCACCACCCAGGGACTCCAATACCTATAGCACAGGTGGTAAATCAGACCACAGGTAAAGTACATGGCACAGTGCCTGGCACAAAGTAGATACTCAACACATGTTAATTCCCTTCTCCCGCATCTTGAATCTTCTCCCCACCTCAGCTCTGGCTGATATGTTACCATCCAAAACCAAACCCGCTGCTACTGAGTAGATTCCGACTCATAGCGACCCTATAGGACAGAGTAGAACTGCCCCATAGGGTTTCCAAGGCTGTAATCTTTACAGAAGCAGACTGCCACATCTTTCTCCCGCAGAGCAGCTGGTGGGTTTGAACTGCTGACCTCTCAGTTAGCAGCCAAGGGCTTAACCATTGCACCACCAGAGCTCCTTTGTGTCACCATACCCTCCCAGAAGTCCCCTCTTTCTCATCCTTTCCCATCTACCTACCACCAGCTTAGCTCCTAGGCCAAGTTCTCTTCACCCTTCCTGCTTACCCATCTCTACCTCCTGCCTCTCCACCTTGATGTAGTGAATGTAGTTAGATAGCCTGGTTCTAGTCCCAGCTTTGTCAATAACGAGTTGTGCACCCTTAAGCAGGTCACTAAGTCCATTCACCTCTCCAGGCTTCAGCTTCCCCATCTAAAGTCATTCCTCAGACCAAATTCATCTACTCATCCAACAAATTCAGCACATTTATTGAGTACTGGCTATAAGCCAGGCCCTGGGAATATAACATGGACTAGCTCCCTGCCCTTATGGATGGGATAAAAAAGAAGAAGAAAGCAGTGTGATTTCAGGAAAGGATAAATACTCTACTAGAAATAAAACAAGACAGATAACAGAGAGTGCCTTGTCAGGGACCTCTCTGATGAAGTGATATTGCAGTTAGAGGGAAAGCAAGAACATGGGCTCTGAGATGGGAACAAACTAAGCTCTTCTGCTAGGCATTAGCAGGAAGTTGGAAGGTAGCAGGAAAGGTGACATATACTCTCCTGGCTCCCTCCAACCTGGACCCCAGGCTGCATATCTTTACCTAAGACCACAGCTCCTGTTCTGTGGCCTTCTTCTACAACACCAGTTCTTGCCAATTGGTTGATTCCAGCAACCATTTCTTCGCTTTGCGCTTTAGCAATCAGTTGTGGACAAGTCAGTTCTGACTCATGGCAACCCTATGTACATCAGAGTAGAACTGTGCTCCATAGGGTTTTCAGTGGCTGATTTTTTTGTTTTTAATCCAAATCTCTCCCCAGTACTAATACATTCAGTGATTCCTTGCCTAAAATATTAGGTTAAAACTTGTTTGTGTTGGAGGCCTTCTGTGACCTGGCCCAAACCTACTTTCCTAACCTTGTATAGAAGGATTTCAGCTCAAGTCTAAGAGGAATTAGATATGTCTAGGCATGTCTGGCAACAGGGTAGCACACCCTGCCAGGAGTCTGTTTGCCTGAGGAATGAGAAGCCTCCATGATGAAAGCTCACCTGGAGTCAAAGAGGAGCCTGCACTGTGAGCTTGACAAATAGATCCTTACCCCTCCAAGGCTCCAAAGGGAGAGGTAGTTCTGTTGCTCAAATATCTCCCAACCCAGCTCGCATCTACTCCTGTCTGAGTTCCTTGGATAGGCGATGAGGAGCTTGGAACCCAGCCAACCCTGTTTGGGAACTTTGTGTCAGTGTGACCCAGAGGGGAGCCAGGCTTCTCCCTGACTTTGCACAATCCTTGAGCAGTTTTCATACCTGGAGGATTTCCGTCGGAGCAGAAGTGGCTTCCCAGTGGGCACATAGAATGGTCAAGCATAAGGTGGTTCCAACAAAGCAAAAGCCAGAATTACTGCTCTAGTGGTGATTCCCCATACTGGTCAGGGTCCTAGTAGGAAACACATTGTACACTCCAAAGGGGTGACTGATGAGAGTTTTAAAAATGGACCTTTTAAAGGCATGTGGGCAGGGTTAAGGAAACCCAATAAGAGAAGGTGCAGTACCCTGGGGCTAGTGTCCTTACTACCTGTAGGCCTGAAAGGGCAAAGAGAAGAAGTAGTTGCTAGAATCAACGGATTGACAAGAACTGGTGTTGTAGAAGAAGGCCACAGAACAGGAGCTGTGGCCTTAGGTAAAGATATGCAGCCTGGGGTCCAGCTTGAAGGGAGCCAGGAGAGTGTATATCACCTCACCTGCTACCTTCCAATTTCCTGTTAATGCCTAGCTTTGGCCAAACCCAGCCAGAAGCCAAAGGGCAAGAAAGCTGGGTTGAGGCAGTCCATTTAGGTTAGCCTCCTAGACACAGGGCAGAGTGGAAAAGAGCAAAGAGGAGAACTGGGGACACACAGAAAATATTCATATACTCCTTGTTTCCTTTACACCCACAGGCTGGTAAGGTCCAAGGAAACTGGGATCATACCAATTTCCCCTACTCTTCACTCACTAATGTTATTTTCCTACTAGATATTTTTACCTCTCTCTCAGGAACAGGGCACGAATATCCCTGCACTCCTATCTAGAGCATAGAGCTTACAGTCAAAGACTTGGATTCAAGTCGCAGTTCTGTCACCTACTAACTTCACAGCTACCTTTGATGGAGAAGCGGAGGACAGCAGATGAACTCCTAGACCCCCAAACAGAGCATCTCTGCTCTGATCTGTTCTAGATGTTTAGTCTTCTGGGAAATATTTCACTTGAACCAAGGGCTCCATGTCTAAAGGAAAGAAACAGTTTGTTCACTTTTGGACTGAGTGAATCTGTAAGATGTCTCCCAGCACAAAAGTCTAAGACTCTAAGTCATGTCTCCAGAAGATGGAGAAGAATAGCGCCTGGATGGGCGCACTGCCCAAGGGCTTCATCAGTCTCAGGAATCCCAGTCCATGGTCAGCCTGTGTGTCTTAGGCTGGGTTCTCTACA